AATAAAAAATGTTATATTTTTGTTGACATAAAGACTTCATGGAGTCTTCACGGCGTCCCCACGGCGATGATGGCGATGTTACGGAGCTTTCACGGCGTTTTAATTGACGATTGTCTTCGTTCGGATCGCGCTTCTACGACGTTCTTTGCGCTTTCACTGCGCATTACGGCGCTCATACTGCGTTCTCGAGGCATTCACACTGCCTTAAAATCGTTAAAAGCTCTGTAAAAGCGCCCGTGCACACGCAGTTGTAAGCGCGGTAAAGACGCCGCACAAAAACTCCGTACAAGCGCCGTGGATAACCACCGCGTTCATTCGGCGTTCCTTTTGCGCTTTCATGGCGCTCCTGTTGCGTTGTAGGATATGCTACGGAGTTGCTACGGCGTCCTACCTGCGATCCCACTGCGCTCATTTTTAGAACGCTGAGTGGACGGCTATTTTTTTGAACATGCTCAAAATGCGCGCCGTCGGTCGGTGTTCTATGATATGCCACAATTATGCTTTCTGACATACTTGAAAGTGTCATCTTAAGCCGCCCTGGAATACTAAATATTTCACTGCATCAAAATTTCAGGAACGATTTTTTAGAGGTTTTTAAAATTTTTATAATACGTTTTCGAAACTGCAACATACACCTTCTGATTGTAGGACCGTTTCTTTATCAATATATGTTGTAAAACTACTATGAAACTTTTATTTATTACTTTCAAGTATTTATAAAGTAAACAAAATCAAGATTACACCATGCCGAGATTACTCTCCGCCGAAATTCGTTTTATCCAGATTTTCCGCTCCATAGCAATCCCGGAACGTAGACATTTCTAAAATGAGGTGTATTTCAAGAAAATAAACCGCAAATATTTACAATTGCCAAGTATTTCCTGGTATGGTAATTATTTCTTATGACATTATCATTTTGTTCTACGAAATAAAACAATCATGTTTGATTTTGCAGTTTGTTTTTGTTTCTTCAAGGAAATAAAGATAATCGTTAATGTGTGATAAGACAGGGATTTATATTACATCCGTGGATAAAACAATAAATAAAGTATACACAAAGTACGTTTTGTAAGCAATTTGTTTCTTATTTTTCATAATGAATAATGAAAAACGCTTTCTGTTTTATATGAACATCTGCGTGTCGGAATTCGGAACATCTCACTGCCTATCTGTAATCGTTATCGAGAAAAAAACTTTTCTTTAAAAGTACACTACGCCGAGGTGACACCCCAGTTACAAAGAGCCATCGGTGTTTGATTGTTAGTTTTTTAACCAAATTATGGAGTGAACCGATGACAACATTTTAACACCGATATCACCTATTGGTCACATGTTTTCCACCTATCATCTACTATTGGGGAAAGATAAGTTTTTTATCGGTGAAAAATTACCGATTGGGATTTTTAAACATGTTTAAAATTCTCGATCGATGAAAATATTTTACAAATAACCGACAGCAACCTATATCACGAGATATGCAAGCTCTTTATCACCGATATCGCCGATCGGACAAAGATAACCAAATATGAATCACCGGCCATATCTGACGGAAAGTGTTTAACCACTGATGACTAGCTATCAAACACCGATTAATCAGTGTTACGCCCGGTTTAGCTCCGATTTACAAACGATAAAAACAGCATTTTTATAACCGTTCAAACTTCGTTTGAGGTTTGCTTTCTGTCACCGATGGCCGTTTACACAGAAAACCAGAAATAAAATCACGCATGACAACCGATCATAACAGCGAGTAAATTTAAAATTAAATGACCGATTGGGGACCGACCACTGCGTGGAGATTGGACCAATATATGTTGCGGCCGCATAAGTTCGCCCCATTCTCCATCACAACGTTAACATGGTTGGTCCATCGTGCTGTCTGATATCGATGCTTGAAAGGTTTAACAGTGTGCAACATTATGCACAAACCTCAAAAAAAATATTGTTAGATTTGTTGCATTTAACATTATATTAAATTGCCTTCGAAAAAATAACATTTTTCTTTTTTCGAAGAAAAGGGTCTCTGGAGAAATATATTTTTAGTTTATGAAATGCATAAATGTTCACCAACTAAGTGAAAGTCTGAATATATTGTACAAAATAGGACGAAATCTGCTATTTTTATCATTAACTATCAATCCCATTACGAAAGGCGTGTACAAAGTAAAATATTTACATTTTTTTAGTTTTATGATAGGAAGTACATTAGGCAAGATTTAATCCCTTTACTCTATTCAGCGTATTTCAAATAGAAACCGAGACATGTTTAATTGTAGCGAGAAGGGCTTTACATAGGGCGTTTCTAGACCATTCTATTTGTATTTGTATATTTGACAGCATTCACAAGTTTATATGAAACAAATATACACAAAGATGGAGACATGCTGCTTTTAATTAGACTAATCAGACCTAATCTGAAATGTTTGATTTATTAAACTTAGATTGTTGAAATAGTATCAATATTAATGTAAATAACACTCTTAAATGAACTACTGTAAGATCGATAAAAAATTTTTTAATTCATATACTCGTACAAACATCATCTGAGACACTTAAAATGGAAAATATGCAATAGATGATAAAAAAAAATACACACACACAAATATCGAAATATATCAGTCTCGCCAATTCAAAAAGATAACAACAACAAAAACAGACCTATGTTAAAAGTTCAGCTGGAACTTGGGCGTGGCACCATAATATATCGCAACACCGCTAAATATCGCACTTGCCGCTAAATATCGCACCACCGCTGAATGAACCGCCGCTAAATATCGCAAAATTGTCTGCCGTTAAGGTAAGATACCCGTAATGGGTATATTTAGGAATCTGAAATCTTCTGCTGTTAACGTTAAATGTTCACGATTTTCCTTTAATGCCGCAATATTACCGTTTAAATTACAATAAACATTGAGTAAATGACTGCACATATCTAATAACTTATGGACATACGAGGATTAATCAAAAAGTCCTCGGCAAGATGTACTTCCAGTAGTCGGAGAACCCAACTAATGGTCTTACTTTTCAATATAATCGCCCTCTACATCAATGAACTTTCCCACCTGTGATCCAACTTGTTAAACCCTTCAAAATAGGATTTTTTATTTTGATTCTCAAAGAACTCATTGACCGCCTCCATGACACCTTCATTGTTTCCAAAACGTCTACAACGAAGCTTGGTTTTCAGTTTCGGAAACAAGTAGAGGTCACAGGGAGCCAAGTCCGGAGAATATAGGGGACGGGGAAGAATTTCAAAGCCGCAGTCAGTTGCAGCAGCCATTGCAACTTGGGATGTGTGAGCTGGCGCATTGTCGTGCAGGAGCAGAACGCCTTCTTGAGTCAGTTTGCCCTTCTTTTTACGCGCGATTTCTTGACGCAGACGTCTCAATTCGTCTGCATAGTAGGTACCGTTTATGGTACGACCTTGCTCAAGATAGTCTCCTGACTATCCCAAAAAATTAAAGCTATCATCTTCCCTGATGCTGACACCCTCTTGGATTTCTTTGGAGGGGGTGAGCCAGGGTGCTTCCACTGCATGCTTTGTTGTTGTTTTTTATTCTGGATCGAAGTGATGGACCCATGCTTCATCCTGAGTTACGATCCGGTAGATAAAATCAGGTTCATCCTCGTAGCGATACAAAGATATCTTATAATGTCAAGCCTGGTCCGTTTCTGGTCGACCATCAACTGTCTGGGGACCCATCTAGCGAAAACCTTTGACATGACATAGACATCAGTCAAAATTGCCTGCACTGAACCAAAGCGTATACCCACTCCCTAGCAATGCTTCGCGGGTCTCGCCTTCTGTCGCACGTGACCAGATCGTGCACAGCTTCGGCAGTTTTATCGTTGATGGCCTCTTGGCCGCCTAGACCGCTCATCATCTCCCATTCTCTCTCCGACCCTCTTAAATTCAGCAGCCCATTTTTTTCATAGTGCTATAGGAAGGGGGCTCTTTCCTAAGTGTATCCATCTAGTCTTCATGGATTTCCTTGGGGACATCCTTTTCTTACAGAGGTCCTTAATGACGGCTCTGATTTAAACTTTCTCCATTTGGTCTAAATGCCACACCCTTCTACTGATCAAAGTGTGTTTTATGTTACAATATGTACTTAATCTGTGCAAGACCGCGTGAAACTCTTCAGTAAGATATCGGTATCGACGTATTGTGTGTAAATGCCAATGTAGTGGGTAGAAGTATATTGAGAACTTTTTGATCGTACCTCGTACATACGAGTATATATCTCTATACTGGTAAAATCATTTCGGTTCCAGCAGTGTAAAGGTGCAATGCTGTTAATTCATAATTGCTTTTGGTCTGTGATACGAAGACGTGCATTTTTAAAGTTGCAGTGATTGAAATAAATGTCAATTATTAAATGCAATTAAAAAGAAACAGTAATTAACAAAAACGACTTTAAACGTGAGATATTTACATTATATATAATTAGTTAATAACAAAATGAATTTGACTCATGCATTATGAAATGAAAATAAAGTGTCGATTTGTCATGTTTAAAAATATAATATTCATGTGCAAATACGAATTGCGTAAAATTCCTTTTTTTTTTCTTTTTTCTTTTTTTTTTTCATTTTTCGTCTTTTTTGTCCTTATAGGCCTAGTGATTAAGGTGTCTGCCTCTCAACCCAAAGATGATGGGTTCGAGCCCTACTACGGTCACGACCATGTTTCTTCATATGACACCAGTACTGGTTGGTTCCAGGAAGGGGATTCGAAAGTGATTAATATAAGTTGCAATAAATAGATATGTTTAAACCAATTCATTCAAACAAAGATTAAATTATTGTGCCGTTCCCTAACAAAGATCCCCATTTTAAAGAATAAATAATTTATTTAGATAGAGTACATTATGTACAGTGTTGTTAAGGTGGCCGATTTTATACATTTCATCGTCCGCTACTCTCACAAACCCTTTCACGAATGTTTATATTAAAAGGTCAAATGCGAGTCAGGTAAATTTCGCGAAGAGGTTATTTCCTTTTAAACCTTAAGTATTCTATATCTATGATTCATTTGAGCGATGCAAATACTGCATATTCGTCAAGTGGTTACGCAGAAATGCTCTTTTAAATTAAGGAGATTGATATTCACATGGACGGTTTTTGTCGTTGTTAAGTACACTGCATTTTGAAATATTAAACGGAAATGATAATTTATTAGAGATTGTTTATTGATTTGAATAATTGATGGGCTAGCTTCAGTTTTAAAATGGCGGTACTTAATCGTATCACGTTTTTAACGATATGTGGATTTTGTATGTTCGGAAGCCTACAGTGTGAATCTTCTAAGTTTAACGGCATAGAACGTGAATGGAATGGCTGCACACGGCAAGGTTTAGAACTCAATTGTACTGGATTACCAAGTGACATTCCAAATGGAGTAACGACAGTTCATCTTAAAAATATTTACGTTCCAAATAGAGTTCTAACACGTGGGGCGTTTTTGTCTACAAACTGGGAACATGTTACAAAACTTGTAATAACTGCGGACAGTAGTTGGACTGCTAAAAATGACACCGTGGATGTATTTGATTCTCTATGCTTCAACGGTTTAAAAAGACTTGAGATATTACATATAAGTATATCAACCACTTTTGAATTCAGGAATGAAACATTAATAGGAATTCCCAATTTAAAATTGTTGGATCTATCAGGGTGCCGGAGATTCGATATAGACTTTCTCATCAGTGCGTTGAATAACACAAAAGCAGTTCCCAACCTAAGGTCACTAAATCTGTCCCTCTTAAATACCTACCATACCGGAATCAGACTCGAAAACAATTTCTTTGAACTAATTTCAGCAAAAGGAATAAAGGAGTTGGATCTAAGTTCCATCCAAGTGCTCTTCATGAATTTGACATCGTTAGTAGAAAACTGTAATACGTTAGAATTTATAAATATATCGCGGATGATGTTAAATGATTATGATATTGACCATCGTCAAAGTTTCTGTCCAAATTTGAAAAGACTGGATGCCAGCTATATAACGTTACCTTCAACAGTGATTCCTGATCGTGGTCCTCAGACGCTTGTTGTCGCAAACAAATCTGTTCCCCTTTTCTTTAATCTAATACCGTATTTTAGAAGTGTCGAATACTTCAATTTGGCAGGATTTATGGTAAAACAGACGCGGTACATATTAAAAAACGTGACATTCTATGTTGTTGGAATAAGTAAGTTCAATTTGAAAACATTAGTGCTGCGAGACAATAATTTTGAAAGACTTGATTTAAGGGTAATCGCTAAGAAGTCCAAATTAGAGTCAATAGATTTATCGCAATGCAATATTCGATTTATTAACCCCATGATGTTTTCAAATCTTTCTTTACTGAAACTCATAGATCTATCACATAACAACCTAAATGACATGGTAGCAGAAAATTCAAGTTTATTTGAAAGACTGTACAAAAATCTGAAACATCTAACGGAAGTGAATCTGTCGAATAACCGCCTAACAATAATACCGTACAATATGTTCGAATCTAATCGAAAATTAGAAACTATACACTTATCGGACAATTTGTTGACTCAGATTTCGTTTGACGTAGTTAACTTAAAGAATCTCAAAACTATTAATTTAGAAAGGAACCAGATAAAAGTCTTCGATGCTGCATCCTTGGTGCGGCTGAATGTCATAAAAGATTTATATAACAGCAAGTATTCAAATGGGTCTGAAGCGAAAACTTTATTCAAGCTAACGGGCAACCCGATAAGTTGTACCAACTGTGATTCCCTTGCTAGCATAACTTGGATTTTTCATTCCAAATCATCTATAGAAAATTCTTCTCTTCTCAAGTGTCGGAATGAGCACGAGCAACTAGTTGGCATCGATCAATCTGCTATAGATAATGTCCAGAAAATATGTAACCGTCCAAAGGTCATAATAATCTCATGTGCCACTGTCGCGACTGTATTAGTTGCAGCTATAGTTTCGTTCATTGCAATACGGCAACGTCGACGTCGTAAAGCACATGAATTAGAAATGGCAGACCGCGTGGCACTTATTAGGGAAGGGACAGAATGTTACGAGTTTGTGGTATTTCTGTCGTACAGCAGTCAAGATGAAGACTTCGTTCAGAAGTATGTGTACCAGTCCCTCAACGAGCATCTTCAGAAAGTGATCGGAGATGATCGCGACCTAGTTTGCGAAGGGGACAGGAATTTTCAACTCGGACGCCCGATTCATGATCAGATTTCTGCACTTTTGAAGAAATCATCAGTGGTGATGGTAGTTTTAACTGACAATTACAGCCAGAGTATTCATTGTAGGAATGAGTTTGATCAGGCGTTTATGTTAGAGAAACCAATCGTGCTAATGGTCAAAGATCAAGTTGAAACCGCCCTTATGACTCCTTTGATACGAGATTTGTATGAGAAAAAGACAAGAGTACTATGGTTGTGGGAAGACGGGCAGTATAAACTGAAAACAACCTGGGAAAATGTGTGTACTTCGATTATTGAACTTGTTGATTGTAAATAATAAATCAAACGTTAAATTCAAACGACATGAAGACTATACGAAACGGAGCAGGAGATTCGGAGAACTCCATTGTTGGTTACATTGTTAGAGAAAACTTTACCATCCATCAAACCGGGAAATCATTACGTAGAGTTAATATTATGATTTGCCGACTTTTAACAACTTACGATTATCCTGACATTGTCGATATTTTGAGTTTTATTTAAGTGGTTTTCCTGAAAGAATCAGAGTCATTACGGTGTTGGGATTTCTTTTCTCTCTTCAGTTGCGCGAATTGCGAGTACATATGTAATTCTCACTTAGAAATAAGAATCAAATGTTAAACATTTTGTGGAAGAATTTCTGTTTGTAATAATATGTATGACACAGGAGTTTCTTTTTTTAAAAAAGCTAGTCAATTATTATTTAAATTGGCGTGTTGTGATGTGCCTTATATTGCACTAATATTATTATACGTGAGTGCAATACCGAATTCTGTTTGACCAGTACACAGCTATCAAACCTATATTGGATAAGGCGACAAGCAAAATGAAAACGAGGATAAATTAATTAAATTGGATCTGATAACCATAATTATATTGAGCGATCACATGGTGCAAACGCTTGAAATTCATTTTACTACATTTTAGTATGGAAAGCCATGGCTGTCTTATATTGTTCTGTTTCAATTGATTTAACCATTTTGGATAATATATAACTTCACTTCGACTATATATGAATTGAAAACACCTTCTTATTAAATCGTAATACATTATATTAATCCACAGTTACAATATATGAAACCATACCGTCAGCATCACAGTTTTGGCCGTATCTCGGTCGTCGATCCACTTAACATTTTTTTAGCTAACCAGTAATTACCAATTTCTCCTCAGCAAGTGACTGACAAATAATCGCCCGTGATGGTAAGAGACAAGTGACCAATTAGATTCTATGTCCTAGATTAAATCCTCTATTAAAGCTAACTGAAAAGCTTACACACATGAACAAATCATTAGGATTCGTCAGGATTTGAACTCAAAGCTTGTGAGGATAAAGTGGTTTGAAGTCGGTGACTTTAACTACCCGGACATGGAGGCTTATTCAAATCAGCCAGTATCTAATAAATCTTAAGAGCACATTGCGATTCGGCATTGATTTTACGACAAAAGTTTGAATAAAACTTCTGAGGATTAAAAAATAATCTGCTGGTATTGCAATCATATGAACTTGAATTCGGAACTGTATATTGTTAAATACATGGGAATTATAAATTTATATATTGTTAATTACATGGTAATTATACATCGGAACATTTCTGGCAAGTTTTAGGCAACTGGAGTAAGACAAAATAATTTAAACCATTCAAGTATTTTTCTTCAGATTTTAATATTTTTAATTGTTACATCCTTTTAATGAGCAGTAAAATATAAATCCAATACATTCTGAAAACAATGGTATAAATATTTATATTTATAAACATGAATCTGATTGGCTCTTTCATGAACAATGTTGATTTGTTTTCAATCTGATTGGCTCTTGCACACATTATTGTTTTTTTAAATTCTGATTGGCTGTTTCAAACATAATGCTGATTGGATGATTGAAGTCATGCTTCAATCTATAAATTTGTTGAAAAAGAGAGAAACGTGCTTTAATATAAATTTGTCAGAGAAACATTTTGAGAATATTTCATATTTTGGTTAACTTTTTTACAAAAAATAAAAATCCAGCAAAATTCGATAAAACTAGAGGATTTTAAAGGTTAATTCATAGAATATGCTCAAAACTGAATACTTTTCATCAATTTTCTATAAAAAATAAAAATCAGTTTATAAAACGGTGGCTAAGTAACAAGTGAATTTTTAGCAGATTTAAAGGTATTAACAGCCTTTTCACCGTGAATATCGAGTAACACAAGAATGTGGAAATTAAGCGCGAACTTTTCATTAGTAACACATAATTATGCAAATATATGGCCGAAACGAGCAATACGGAAAGTAAATGAACCTATATATTTCGTAAGTCAAATTGAAAGAAATTAATTTGCTGCTAACATATAAGAAGTATATTCATTCATAAATGAATATTTCGTGAATAATTGCGAAATAGTTTAAAATATTATTGGATACCACATGAACAAAATAAGGATTAGTATCAAGAATTAATGAATAATTCATGTATTTTCAAACATAAATGAATAATTCATGAACAAATGAGTGGTTTCATACAGAAATGAATAATTCATAATAAAAATTGGAGTATTTATTTGATTGCTCCGCACCCACAGGCGCGGAGCTATTTGTGTTTACTAATTTTTTTGTCCATGGGCAAAACAAAAAATAAATAAATAGCTTAAAATAAATTCGGATTCAAGAACTCCTTCCGATTTCTATTATATTGGTTTCCCCATCGTTGATTCGCAGCATGTCATATTAATGAATGAGAACCGGAAAGCAGTTCTGCTGTACATGAATTCTAAAGCTATAAATAGCTATGTAGTAGGGCAGGTTGTTTCCCTTTCTTTGTATATAAATAAATGTTCTGGTTTTTGACACTTAAATTATAAATTTGTTATTTCCCTTTTTTAGTAGTACATGGAATTATAATTTGTTACATTTTGAATTACATTTACACACATCATATCAAGTACACAAAACATTTACAAGTCTTGTAAGTCTTGTTTGTAAAATGGAATTACTTTATAAGAAAGAATAAAATTCTTAGTTGTTATTCTTTTTATAAAAACCTAATTAGAAGGTACAAAAATCAAAGGTCTTTGGTAGCTCTTCCTAAATAAAATTTAATTTTCCAACTCATTATAATATTTAATTTTTCCTATTAACGTTTTTAAAACTTATTAAGAGTAACAAAGTTGTTATGAGGATTATTTCTCCTAATTATGAGTAAAACATCCTTATTAGTTGTAACTTGGGGTAACAAATTGTGAAGTTGTTTTTTATCTCTCCTATTAAGGAGATTATGAAAATTTAAGTCCTAATTATATAGGCTTTTAAATCTCCTTATTAAGAGTTAAAAAATTAAGAGTTTGTGCCAGACGGTTCCGTATCAAATTATCAATTTGTAAGAGATTTTCGACCATGTGACTCGAGGATATGTTTGTCTTACGAGAGAAGGACAAAGTGTTGTCCGCCTTTTTAGCTCGACTATTCGAAAAATATGAGAGCTATTGTAGTCGCCCCGGCGTCGGCGTCGACGTCCGCGTCCGCGTCTGCGTTGGTTAAAGTTTTTTGTTTTATTGACAGAATTATGCCCCTTTTTAACTTAGAAATTTTGGTTAAAGTTTTTTGTAAAGTCAAATATCTCAATTATGGCTTGAGATATTCAATTGAAACTTATAATTCTCATTTATAGTAACAATGTACATTAGATTGACAAGTTGGATAACTCTGCCTACAATATTTACAGAATTATGCCCCTTTTTTAACTTAGAAATTTTTAGTTAAAGTTTTTTTGTAAAGTCAAATATCTCAATTTTTGCTTGAGATATTCAATTGAAATTTACAATACTTTTTTATTGTAACAATGTAAACAATGTACATTACTCTGCATGTATTTTGACTGAATTATGCTCCCTTTTGTACTAAAAAAATCTCCTTTTCTTGGTTAAGTTTAACATGCAAGTTTTGCATATCTCTGAAACTATTAAAGGTACAAACTTGAAACTTCATATGTATATTTGTGGTCATAAATAATGATCACTGAACAGCACTCATATCTGTGTCATGTATTTAGGCTGATTTATCTCCCCCTTTTTACTTAGTCTCTTGGTTAATGTTTACATGTAAGTTTTACATATCTAAATAAATTTTAGAGATTTTGATTTCAAACTTCACATATGCATGGAGGGTCATAATTGTATGTCACTGACCAAGTTCCATAACTCTATCTTGCATTTAGGCTGATTTATCTTCCCTTTTCTACTTAGTCTCTTGATTAATGTTTACATGTAAGTTTTACATATCTCAATAACTATCAGAGATTTTGATTTCAAACTTCACATATGCTTTTAGGGTCATAATTGTAGGTCATTGACCAAGATCCATAATTTCTTTCTTGCATTTAGGCTGATTTTTCTCCCCTTTTTCAACTTAGAAATTCATGGTAAAGTTTTGCTTGTAAGCTGTTATCTCCATAACTACTGAAGGGTTTGTGCCTTCTTTTGGGACAATTTTATGCATTCATAATAATAAAGCAGTGATTTACTTGATAAAACAGCTTAAGAACAAGCCTTTGTACCTTTTCGGTCAATTTTATGTATTCATATAGGTAAGCATGATTATACTCAATAAAACACTCTTATAGTGTTAACTTTTTCGAATAGTCGAGCCAATACTGTCCTCCGACAGTTCTTGTTATTATAGGGCTGACTTTTACTATTTTCTTATTCCTATTGATAAGGTGGCTAATTTATTCACATACATGTTTTGAATTAGTTTATATACAACAATAGTAACGCAAACCAAGCGGGATTTCAGTTTGCGTCCTTTATGAAATTTTAAAAAGATCATATATAATTTCTTGGAATATTCTGAGTTAACATTTTTTTTTTCTTCTACTTTTTATACTATGTATATAGCAGAATTATTTTATTTTTGCAAAACATGAACGTTTCAAAAACATTTATATGCATTAAGTATGGGAGATATACTTCACACGTTGTTTGCAAATACATGTACATTGTATTAACCTGGGGGCATTTTTGCCAAAATATGCAAGAAAAAATAGGTTGAACTTGAGCACCCGACAATTCTGACACTGGTAAGACTGTACATATTTGCAAACCTTTACCGTAAAGCCACATTATGCCTCAAAAATCCATATTTCACGGTACGTAATCGTTTCGGACTGATTTGGAATAATTCCCGTTCCAATTTGCACGTTGTTTTGTTTTTCCCTTAATATGAATCAATCCGGTGCCCTAAAATATTTACACGTTTGTCATAAAAATACGTACTACAAATTTATTACTGCATGGACAAAACATTCAACCAATACCACTAAATATCGCGGAATAATATTTTCTATAAAATGATCATGAAATACCTGAAAAATAAAAAATAATAATGACTTGTTTGGCAATTTTATGCTAGTGTTTACTATTACTTTACTGACATGTGAAATTTGTTTTTCGCTTCCAACTGATAAAAGACCGTTAAAACCCATTACCAGATATATATACGCCTTTCTACGCCTTTTTCACCCCCCCCCCCCCCCTTTTGTTTTCTCAAATGGTGAAAAGAATGCCTTTATTTAGGCCTTCAATACTTGTTTTTGTTTAAGAAATGTTGTTTGAAACTTGACAATGCATACTTCGGTTCTACTAAACAAGTAAACATATTAGTAAAAATCTAATTGTCGATCCGAGAGTTACATACTGAACATGTATTAAGCGTTTTGATTATCTCGATTTGATCAAATGGAAGCTGTTAACATGCAACTTAGTTAAATTGCAAACTGTACTTAGAAATGTATAACTTCAAATTTGCGACATGTAGAAATGTTCGTGCACAACACGTTTAATGCTGTGCATCATGGCGTTGAGAATGTAATTGCATCAGTTGACACTCTCAGGTTTACAACACCACACTTTCCGTTTACATTCTAACTCGAAACGATTTTGCAACTTCCATATATGAAATTATCACTGAAATAGACGAAAATTAATAGGCGGAGCCAATTTTCACGAAAGCAGAATACAAAGAGAGGTAACTCTTGCTAGTACAAAAGTATTTCAAATTTTATAAAACTGTTATAAATTTTACATACATCAACTGTATCACAGTTGACTTTGAATATCCTCTGATTTTGTTAAAACGTATTCTAGCAAAGGATATTCAAGTAATGCAAAATTGGTTTAGATATTACGTAACAATGTAACAACGTTTATATTGATAATGAGCATAATAATATGCATAACTTAAGTTGGTCAATTGACATAAGGAAAGGTTTCCCATATATAACGACACAAACCACTTTTGGCTTAAACATATTTATTCAACAAAACATTTAACAAGTGAACAATATTTACAAAGTACATTTTGGGATTGGGCAGAAAGCTATAAAGCTTATGAATGTCCTCTCCCAGTTATAATAATTTACAATAACACAGTTCATGGCATTATCATACACAACGGTTAGTTGAAGTATTCAAAATAATTCACATAATAGTTTAAGTATTTAGCAATGTAACATATGTAAGAGCAAACAGTAAAAAGGAGAAAAAAGAAGAAAAAAATGATTGAAGAATAAAGCAACTCACAAAAAAGTACAAATAACAAAGA